TAGCGCATAAACGGTTCACAGCATAGAGATAGCGGTCACAGCATAGCGATAGCGGTCACAGCATAGCGATAGCGGTCACAGCATAGCGATAGCGGTCACAGCATAGCGATAGCGGTCACAGCATAGCGATAGCGGTCACAGCATAGAGCAGCCACGACGTCTGTCCCCTGCAAACCAGGCTGCAAAACTCCATCAACTCACACAGCCTTTTTGGGGATTCTACGCGCCCCAGCGCAGGAGCCTCCCCGAACTGAAGGCCGCACCGGGGCCTAGGGCGCCAAACCACCTTTCATTAAAATACTCAAAAGCATTCTTGTTTCTCGTCTCTCCAAATTGAAATGTAGCTCGCGAAAATTCAATTTAGAAGACGTCAGCCAAAGCTACCCCCTCCGGGCCGACTCGCATCCCCAGCCTATCGCGCAGCAAACGCCCCCTTCCAATCACACCGTGCCGGACAGACCAGCCGCTTAAAAGCGGAGCAACTCCCACTTACGGCCTCCCGAAGCCTCGCATCCACCGCCTCCCCTCCTCCTCCTCTTCACCCTGCCTCCAATCTGCCTCCAAATCTGCTTCACGCTGCCAAAACGCCGCCACCAGTACCTAGGCCCCGGGGGGGATTCTACGCGCCCCAGCGCAGGAGCCTCCCCGAACTGAAGGCCGCACCGGGGCCTAGGGCGCCAAACCACCTTTCATTAAAATATTCAAAAGCATTCTTGTTTCTCGTCTCTCCAAATTGAAACGTAGATGTCTCTGGGCAGCTCTAGTCTATGAACAGTTTGGGGATAAAAACATATGAAGTTACTCAGCAGAAATACTTGAATAAATCAAAGTTCTGAATCCTCCGTAGGCCTTTGCTCATGGCTCCAGTCCCGTCCCTCTCTGCTCAGAGGATCCAGGTTCATCTAAATGCTAATTGCTCTACACGTTGAGTCCTGTCATGGGGCTCCTCTCTCCAATTAATCCAAGAAGCTTTGGAAGAGGTTTTTACCAAATTGCACTCATTTCTGCAGTCGAACTTGAGCAATGTGAGAGTGTAAGAAAAAGTGTTGGGCCATTTCATGAACTTCAAGAGCTGTTTTTCGCCCAATAATCACCGGTTAAAGCTGGAAACGTAACTTTTTTTCACAATAAGTAATAGATATTGTTTGTCCCAACGAAAAGAGTTTTGTAAAATGCCAAAAACATTGAGCTGTCGTTGGCGTACTTGTGTTAGACAGAGCCTAATGAGACACTGTTTGATGCTTTGGGCTGAGAACTGATTGGCTCCAGGCAAGTATTAACAAAATCATTGGAAATCCCAGAATGCAACATGTTCACGCTGTAACGTTATGATGAGAAAAATCTACATATGTAAGAATAATGTTGAAATCTGCAATTTTTTTGGGTGTTTTGTCAAGATTGCCTACAAACTCTGGTCCATGATCATTTCCTACATGTACGTCTGGTCTTACCATGTGTAAACTCTGGTCCATGATCATTTCCTACATGTACGTCTGGTCTTACCATGTGTAAACTCTGGTCCATGATCATTTCCTACATGTACGTCTGGTCTTACCATGTGTAAACTCTGGTCCATGATCATTTCCTACATGTACGTCTGGTCTTACCATGTGTAAACTCTGGTCCATGATCATTTCCTACATGTACGTCTGGTCTTACCATGTGTAAACTCTGGTCCATGATCATTTCCTACATGTACGTCTGGTCTTACCATGTGTAAACTCTGGTCCATGGTCATTTCCTACATGTACGTCTGGTCTTACCATGTGTAAACTCTGGTCCATGATCATCTCCTACATGTACGTCTGGTCTTACCATGTGTAAACTCTGGTCCATGATCATTTCCTACATGTACGTCTGGTCTTACCATGTGTAAACTCTGGTCCATGGTCATTTCCTACATGTACGTCTGGTCTTACCATGTGTAAACTCTGGTCCATGGTCATTTCCTACATGTACGTCTGGGTCTGATCCTAGTGGCTGCAGTTTCCTCGGTTGAATCCCCTCCGACCAATCAGAGAGCGGGGGAGGCGGGTGTTGTAGGTCGTGTCGGTGACGTCAAGAGTTTGTGCTGAATTTGCTGGTTGTAGTTTGTCGGAGAATGTGATAGTAAAATAATCTGTTCTGGTTCAATCCAAATATCAAGAAACTGAAGCCGGAGCAAGAGGAATGTTTAGTAAATGTCACTGAAGCAAAGATGTTGTGGCTCTACTCCCCATGGGCTCCGTTAGTGGCAAAGGAGATGGCTAAAGCTAGGCTAAAGGCTAAAGCTAGGATAAATGCTACGTAAACGTCACGGTAAACTCAGATCCAATCGTTTCAATCTGCAAAAGGAGTTAGCCCCTCCCACCTGTTAACGGAGTCAATGGAGCAAATCCAGACCTTAGTATGAAATGAAATGAGTACAATGGTGCGGTATATATATACATATATGAACCTATGGACATTACAGACCACTCAAACGAGCTCAAATCATCCTAAAAAAATGTTCAGAGGCAAAACGAGAAAGGGAAAAACTTTGGTTAAAAGCTCATGAAAGTAAACGTTGCAGAATATGATAAATCTTCCAGAATATCTTTAAATAACTGGTTTAAATTCAGTCTGAGTCAGAGTTGTTCCACACAGACTGAGAGAGAGAGGGCACATTTCCATACTCCTCTAAACTTTTTATTAACAAATCCATCATTGCCACAAGCAGAAAGAAGAGGGAGACACCACAAAGTCAGGACAAACCATTGTGTAGTGATTATTATATATTTCTGCTGGATTTGTTTTGTCTATTGCAGCATTCTTTGTGTTATTGCTTTTTGAATTTCTAATCTCTGACTCCAACTCAGTTTAGACCTGACCGGGTGATCACAATTCATCAAAATAAGACCTACTTTTACTGCCACCATTCTGCTGTTTTCTACCTTGGATTGTATCTGATTTGGTTCAAGTCATGATTAAGAATATATAGAAAGATGTTCTACTTCCGGGTGGATTATCAAGACGATTGGTCCTCCCAGCTGTCAATCATTTAGCTTTAAGTAATGGTCATGTCATGTTTTTCACATTGTGTTGGAAGGAAAAATACTTATAGACTTCAATTACCAGTTTAAACATGGACTTATACAAACACACATCTGCCACTTGTGTTTCTCATGTAGTAAAGGTACAGTGTATTTATATATTAGTATGTAGGTAGTAAATGTGTAGTGTATTTATATATATTAGTATGTATGTAGTAAATGTACAGTGTATTTATATATATTAGTAAAAAGCACTATATAAAACCAATGCATTATTATTATTATTATTATTATTATTATTATTATTATTATTATTAAGAGTAGTATATATTGTTGTCTACTTTGTGAAAAGTTTGGGGCATAGTTTTGCTTCTGTCAGTTCATTCTGTCTGTATTCTCTGCCCACGCAAACCCGGTGCAGTCACTTTTACGACCACCTGACCGCAGATGACTTCTCTTTTACGGGCGTTTCATAAACACCAACTTTTTACGGCCGCGATAAGGAACTCCGGCGATAGTCCGGCGACACTCGGGATTCTCAGGCAAAGATTTACGACTTTTCTCTCAAGACTTTACATCTGAGCGCGTGTCGTGGCACTCACTAACGTTTAGCAATAAGCCCCGGTCCCTGTGTCTGAGCCTGACCTTTCCCTGTCTCAAAAGAGTGTGTTACTGCAGGTTTGACGGTGTGTGTCTGTGTGTGTGTGTGTGTGTGTGTGTGTGTGTGTGTGTGTGTGTGTGTGTGTGTGTGTGTGTGTGTGTGTGTGTGTGTGTCTTTGTGTGAGCTCTGCAGAGGTGAGTCACAATGGTGCTCGGCAATAAAGCCAAACCTCAAAGGACCGAGAGCAAAGATCACCAGAAGAACCAGAGATGGGCAGGTAATTGCTCTGCTGAGGACAGGCCAAAACAGAAAATACTTTTTTTATGTTATTTTTAATTTACAGCTGTGGATTGTGTTTGTCAAAGCAGAGAAGATAGAACTCGGTAAAGAAAACAGACGTTTCACATGTGCATTTATCTATATATATCTTCTCAGTGGTTTTAACAGAAGGGAGCACATCTCCCCTGTGTTAGAGTCCCTCCACTGGCTCCCTGTAAGCCTTCTCTGTATGAGCTTCTAAGGTTTGGAATGCCAGAAAACAGAGACACCAGAGAGACGAAAGAGAGACCAGAGAGAAACCCAGAGAGAAACCCAGAGAGAGAGCAGAGACGGACCAGAGAGAAACCAGTGAGAGACCAGAGAGAAACCAGCGAGAGACTAGAGAGAAACCAGCGAGAGACCAGAGAGAAACCCAGAGAGACCAGAGAGAAACCCAGAGAGAGAGACTTTTCCCAAGGAAATTATGCAGGGGATACAAAAGATAAGGTCAGCGACAGAATAATGAATTAGAATCGTTAGACCCAACATGATCATTAGACCCAGCAGAATCGTTAGACCTGCTCCCAACCACATCTTAGCAGACCTTAAATGTGTTAATGAGTTAGCCTCAGGATCAGGGGGTGTGTTTAACCACATCCAGAGCTTATTAATCTCCAATTTGCGCCTGAGCTTTCATTTCCTTAAGAAAGTTCATTGGATTAAGAACAAAACTTTGTGAAAACCTGCAAACTGAGGCATGGGTTTGGTATTGTAACTGTTTTAACAATGTACTTTTTGCTTATATTGTAGGGCGACCTTGGGTGTCCAGAAAGACACTTAAGAAATAAAATGTATTATTACATGCATCAGTCCTTGTGTAAAGCGCTTTGGGTGACCTTGGTCTGTAAAAATGTGCTATATAAATAAGTAAACATTAACATTAACACCTAAAAGTCTCCAGCATCGACCCGTTTCCTGGTAAACACATAACTGACATGTGACGGCGGCAGTCTTCCGCACATGTGAGCACAAAGGCCGCTATAATACGGTATAATTCTATAGAAGCCGTTTTTCTCAGGTTTTGCACAACAATATAAGCTCCTCCCCCTCTCTCCTATTTGCTCTTTGTGATGTGGTGTTTGCGGATCTCTATCTCTCTCCATTACTGGGTCAGGACCTTCGTGTCGGACCAGAGCTGGATCAAAACACGAGCTCAGCTGCTTAGTTCCAGGTCTGTGTCCTCGATGCACACACGCTCTCGCCCAGAGGTAAACATAGAGGTTCGTGGAAAGAGCAAAAATGAAACTACAAGAGCCACCTCCAGCTCAAGTCGCCTTTTAAACAGCTGATTGGAGACCGGTTTTATGTATTTTTATTGTATCTATATTTTATACCTTGTGTTTCGGTGTTTTTATGTTCCCCACCGGTGCTCTGTCTGCAAATTAAGTACCTCGTGGATAAATAAAGTTATTAGAATTGAATCTAATCTACTGCATGGTTTCGATGAAGGCTCTACATCAGGGGTCTCCAACTTTTATCGACTGGAGACGTTTATGAAACAGAATTGGCGGAGAGCGACTCCTTTAGCAGCTGTAAAACAATTATAGTCCATAGAATAACTACAGCTGATCATGGAGAACACACATGTGAAATATATTAGAATACACGAAAAAAACAACAGAGTCATATCACTGCAAAAAGTGAAAATATGGACAAGTATAGTTCAGTATATATATATTTTTTACTTTTTTACTCAAGCAGCTGAAGATACTTTACATAAGATTACTTTTTATTAATATTTTTTTTCTTCTTTCTTGATCCGCAGGCAGATAATTTTGCTTGAAACAAATAAGTGTCCTCTAATAGTGACTATTTTTCCTTTTTATGGAGCAACTTTCTGCAGTGATATATTTTAATTTGAGCTCATTGTGACTGAGCTCAAGATTTTCAAAATTATCTTGTTTTGAAAATATACAAGAAATGTCTGGAATTTATCACCCCGTATTTTATCATTTTTTGCAGTGTAGGTAAAGTTTCTCTGTATTAATGGAAAGATGTGTGGTTAAAATAGTAAGTAAGTAATGTTTATTTATATAGCGCCTTTCACAGACCCGAGTCAAAGTGGTTTACAATTGTTATTTTTGGGCATTTGTCTCTCACTCCACACAGAGATGGGAGGGGCCAGTACAGGAGGCACAGACCTATTGTACATGTTTTCAGTGGTAGGGGAAACCGGAGCACCTGGAGGAAACCTACGCAGACATGGGGAGAACATGCAAACTCCACTCAGAGAGGCCACTAACCACTCACTCGCAAAAATAGAAATGTAATGACTCAAAAGTGAATAATTTCTTAAGCATTCTTGAATCCTTTGGGGAGCTACCTGAGATAGGATGGTCAGTTACTGCTGGCGAGCTACTGCTGGCGAGCTATTGTTGGCGAGCTACTGCTGGCGAGCTACTGCTGGCGAGCTTCACCACAGGTTGGGAGCCCCTTGCTCTCTATTGATAGCTTTCAAATGGCAATTTCTACAAATACAAGGTCTGTTTTTTCAGGTCTTGAACATCACACAACATTACAGTCAAGAGCTTTAACCGACAGAGCAGCAGTGTACTTCCATCTGTGCCAAAATGCCTGTGCTAAATCGTCCGTGTACGACTGACAAAAGAAAACAATCAAGGCTCAAACTGTGTGTGTGTGTGTGCGCGTTTTTGTGTGTGTGTGGCTGAGTGTATGCGTGTGTGTGTGCGTGTGTGTGTGTGTGTGTGTGTGTGTGTGTGGTCAGGGTCCGGTCTCCGTAGTAACCGTCTGCTTGTCTCTCGTCACAATTGGGTGTTTTCCTGCAAATGTAGTGACAGGGAGAGAATGAAAGGCAGAGACCGGACTGTATCTGTCTGATCCGTGACCTATAACATGTGTCTGATCCATGACCTAAAACATGTGTCTGATCCATGACCGATAACATGTGTCTGATCCATGACCGATAACATGTGTCTGATCCATGACCTAAAACATGTCTGAGACGTCTGAGACTGTGAGGACCAGGGTCTGAGACTGTGAGGACCAGGGTCTGAGACTGTGAGGACCAGGGTCTGAGACTGTGAGGACCAGGGTCTGGGACTGTGAGGACCAGGGTCTGGGACTGTGAGGACCAGGGTCTGAGACTGTGAGGACCAGGGTCTGGGACTGTGAGGACCATGAGACTGTGAGGACCAGGGTCTGAGACTGTGAGGACCAGGGTCTGGGACTGTGAGGACCAGGGTCTGGGACTGTGAGGACCAGGGTCTGAGACTGTGAGGACCATGAGACTGTGAGGACCAGGGTCTGAGACTGTGAGGACCAGGGTCTGAGACTGTGAGGACCAGGGTCTGAGACTGTGAGGACCAGGGTCTGGGACTGTGAGGACCAGGGTCTGGGACTGTGAGGACCAGGGTCTGAGACTGTGAGGACCAGGGTCTGAGACTGTGAGGACCAGGGTCTGGGACTGTGAGGACCAGGGACTGAGACTGTGAGGACCAGGGACTGGGACTGTGAGGACCAGGGTCTGGGACTGTGAGGACCAGGGTCTGAGACTGTGAGGACCAGGGTCTGGGACTGTGAGGACCAGGGTCTGGGACTGTGAGGACCAGGGTCTGGGACTGTGAGGACCAGGGTCTGAGACTGTGAGGACCAGGGTCTGAGACTGTGAGGACCAGGGTCTGAGACTGTGAGGACCAGGGACTGGGACTGTGAGGACCAGGGTCTGGGACTGTGAGGACCAGGGTCTGAGACTGTGAGGACCAGGGTCTGAGACTGTGAGGACCAGGGTCTGAGGCTGTGAGGACCAGGGTCTGGGACTGTGAGGACCAGGGTCTGGGACTGTGAGGACCAGGGTCTGAGACTGTGAGGACCAGGGTCTGAGACTGTGAGGACCAGGGTCTGAGACTGTGAGGACCAGGGTCTGGGACTGTGAGGACCAGGGTCTGGGACTGTGAGGACCAGGGTCTGAGACTGTGAGGACCAGGGTCTGAGACTGTGAGGACCAGGGACTGGGACTGTGAGGACCAGGGTCTGAGACTGTGAGGACCAGGGTCTGGGACTGTGAGGACCAGGGTCTGGGACTGTGAGGACCAGGGTCTGAGACTGTGAGGACCAGGGTCTGAGACTGTGAGGACCAGGGTCTGGGACTGTGAGGACCAGGGTCTGGGACTGTGAGGACCAGGGTCTGAGACTGTGAGGACCAGGGTCTGGGACTGTGAGGACCAGGGTCTGAGACTGTGAGGACCATGAGACTGTGAGGACCAGGGTCTGAGACTGTGAGGACCATGAGACTGTGAGGACCAGGGTCTGAGACTGTGAGGACCATGAGACTGTGAGGACCAGGGTCTGAGACTGTGAGGACCAGGGTCTGGGACTGTGAGGACCAGGGTCTGGGACTGTGAGGACCAGGGTCTGAGACTGTGAGGACCAGGGTCTGAGACTGTGAGGACCAGGGTCTGAGACTGTGAGGACCAGGGACTGGGACTGTGAGGACCAGGGTCTGGGACTGTGAGGACCATGAGACTGTGAGGACCAGGGTCTGAGACTGTGAGGACCAGGGTCTGAGACTGTGAGGACCAGGGTCTGGGACTGTGAGGACCAGGGTCTGGGACTGTGAGGACCAGGGTCTGAGACTGTGAGGACCAGGGTCTGAGACTGTGAGGACCAGGGACTGGGACTGTGAGGACCAGGGTCTGGGACTGTGAGGACCATGAGACTGTGAGGACCAGGGTCTGGGACTGTGAGGACCAGGGTCTGGGACTGTGAGGACCAGGGTCTGGGACTGTGAGGACCAGGGTCTGAGACTGTGAGGACCAGGGACTGGGACTGTGAGGACCAGGGTCTGGGACTGTGAGGACCATGAGACTGTGAGGACCATGAGACTGTGAGGACCAGGGTCTGAGACTGTGAGGACCATGAGACTGTGAGGACCAGGGTCTGAGACTGTGAGGACCAGGGTCTGAGACTGTGAGGACCAGGGTCTGAGACTGTGAGGACCAGGGTCTGAGACTGTGAGGACCAGGGTCTGAGACTGTGAGGACCAGGGTCTGAGACTGTGAGGACCATGAGACTGTGAGGACCAGGGTCTGAGACTGTGAGGACCAGGGTCTGGGACTGTGAGGACCAGGGTGAAGGGTTTGTTGTTTACAGCTCCACAAATCACCAAAATGACAATAAAGGGTCATATTTCTCGCCTCAAATGTTGTTAAAAGTAACATTTGTGCCCTATTTATTGTGTTATTGATCAGAACTATCATCTCAGACGTGGTTCTGTTGGACCCAGAGTGACTCCACCGTCGTCAACAACCTTTATCCTCCTCATTGTTGAAAAAACTGGACTCTTTCAAACACTACAAAGCGTACGCTGCATTTAAAAACTTTTTCACTCAAAATAAGAGTGATATTAAGCCGCAAAAAGCTCCTGTGTGCGTTTTCCCGCATCTCCCATTCTATTTGATAGGAGAAAAATACTTCCTGTCCTACGGCCCCATGCCCCGCCCCCTTTGGTCACTTGGTTGCAACCCAGCAATAACATGTTTTATCTTCTTGATAGAGTCAGGGTTAATCTCAAACTCTACACACACAGGACTGAAGACCAAAACACAATCAATGTATTTAAGACTGGACTCACTTTAAAGTTTGGTTTAGATATGATAAGATAGAGATCCTTTATTCGTGCCACAGTGGGGAAATTTCAGTGTTGCAACCATAGACTGTATATATTAATGGACAGAGTCACGCCTATCTCCGCTGTTCTAACTAATGGGCCAAAAAATGTGCTCTACTGGAGCAATCCAAAATGGCCGCGAGTGGTCCCGCCCACAAGAAAATGGTGAAAAAACGCAGCCGGTGCAGCTCCATTCATTTGAACGAGAGACTTCAAAAATCCACAGCGACTAAACTAGAGTGGCCCAGAACACTCAGCATTGACACACATGTGGAACGGAGCTTTGGGCCAAGAGACAACTTTTGGACCATCCTGTAAAGACGTTTTCCAGAGGTCTGCCAATGCTATATGTTAGCATTGGCTAATTCTTCTTCTGGGTCCACCCCCACAGGCCCGGGGTGGTACTGCAGCATGTCAGCGCACGTCATTTTGGCCACTTTTGAACTGGGACCCTCCCCCACTGGTTGCAGCGCACAAATATATCTATATATAGTGTAAAGTTATATACATGTGGGGGCAGAGTAATTATGTTACTTTCTTATCGAATGTGGGCTTATACTACTACTGCAACTGATACTACTACTACTACTTCTACCGCTACTACTACTACTACTGCAACTGATTCTACTACTACTACTGCAACTGATACTACTACTACTACTGCAACTGATACTACTTCTTCTACTACTGCAACTGATACTACTACTACTACTACTACTACTACTGCCACTACTACTGCAACTGCCACTACTACTGCAACTGATACTACTACTACTACTTCTACCGCTACTACTACTACTACTACTTCTACTACTACTACTACTACCGCTACTACAACTACTACTACTTCTACTGCTACTACTACTTCTACTGCTACTACTACTGCAACTGATACTACTACTACTACTTCTACCGCTACTACTACTACTACTACTACTGCTGCTGCTACTGCTGCTTCTACTACTACTACTACTGCTACTACTACTACTACTACTGCTACTATAACTACTACAAATACTAATACTACTACTACTAAAGTTGTCTACTATGTATTTTGCGTCAGACAGAACTATTGCTTCATATTCGCAGTAAAACATGTAGAAGTCCACAGTTACAGCATAACTACCTGTAAGTATTTGTGACGTACATTATAGAGTAACACTGCAGTAGTACGTGTGGCGTGTATCTTTGGCCCCAGAGAGAAGCCGGTGATGATCCCATTTGTTTACACGGCCGAGCGTCCAGAGAGAGTGGCCGTAAAGGGACGCGTGATTACACCGTTAAATCATTATGTAAGAAATGGAATGTACCAACCCAAACATCCCCGTTTGGTATTTAGATTAGACCAACAGAAGTGACCAGAGTCGGAGCAAAGTGGAGTCACAGAAGCCAAAAGTTACAGCCTCAGTCCTGGATCTACAACCTCAGTCCTGGGTCTACAGCCTCAGTCCTGGATCTAAAGCCTCAGTCCTGGGTCTACAGCCTCAGTCCTGGATCTACAGCCTCAGTCCTGGATCTACAGCCTCAGTCCTGGGTCTACAGCCTCAGTCCTGGGTCTACAGCCTCAGTCCTGGATCTACAGCCTCAGTCCTGGGTCTACAGCCTCAGTCCTGGGTCTACAACCTCAGTCCTGGATCTACAGCCTCTGTCCTGGGTCTACAGCCTCAGTCCTGGATCTACAGCCTCAGTCCTGGATCTACAGCCTCAGTCCTGGGTCTACAGCCTCAGTCCTGGGTCTACAACCTCAGTCCTGGATCTACAGCCTCTGTCCTGGGTCTACAGCCTCAGTCCTGGATCTACAGCCTCTGTCCTGGGTCTACAGCCTCAGTCCTGGATCTACAGCCTCAGTCCTGGGTCTACAGCCTCAGTCCTGGGTCTACAGCCTCAGTCCTGGGTCTACAGCCTCTGTCCTGTGTGCGGGTGTCATCTGATTTTTCCACTGAAAAAAAACAGAAGAAATTGCTGTGTTTCCATGGGGTGGCCTGCAGGGGGCGCTTATCTGGGAAAGCCTTGATCCACCTCCGCCTCATTCCAGTGATTGTTTCAAAGTGTCCTCCTTTATATGAGACACAGTTGGAACATGAACAAACTCTGGTCTTTCTCTATTTGTGCGGTTGCTACAAGCGTACACCGCACACAAAGATGCTTCTTCTTCTACTATATCTCTGTGTATAAACCACTTCTTCTTCTACTATATCTCCGTGTACAAACCACTTCTTCTTCTACTATATCTCCGTGTATAAACCTCTTCTTCTTCTACTATATCTCCGTGTATAAACCACTTCTTCTTCTACTATATCTCCGTGTATAAACCCGGCAGACAGCACCGTGGTACGTCACGTCTTGTCCTACGTTTGTTATTCGCGCCACTGCCCTGACGTCAAATGGAACCCAAGAATACTTGATTCCCCTGTCACGCCCATATTTGGCAGAGGACAGAGCAACAAAGACAAACAGGAGAGAAAGGAGTCAGAGCTGCACCTGTGGGAGACGAAGGGGGAGACGAAGGGGGAGGCTCAAAATAACCAGAGACAGATCCTGATCCTCCCCCAGCTCTGGCCCTTCTGCTACCTCACCCTCTGCCTCACCCTCACCCTCTGCCTCACCCTCTGCCTCACCCTCTGCCTCACCCTCTGCCTCACCCTCTGCCTCACCCTCTGCCTCACCCTCACCCTCTGCCTCACCCTCTGCCTCACCCTCTGCCTCACCCTCTGCCTCACCCTCTGCCTCACCCTCTGCCTCACCCTCACCCTCTGCCTCACCCTCTGCCTCACCCTCTGCCTCACCCTCACCCTCTGCCTCACCCTCTGGCTCACCCTCTGCCTCACCCTCTGCCTCACCCTCACCCTCTGCCTCACCCTCACCCTCTGCCTCACCCTCTGCCTCACCCTCACCCTCTGCCTCACCCTCTGGCTCACCCTCTGCCTTTGGCCCTAAGGGCTAAAGCTAGATTTTATACTAGCTTCTTTATTCTGCTAAAGCTAGAGATGTTATACTAGCTTCTTTATTATGCTAACGCTAGTGATTTTATACTAGCTTCTTTATTCTGCTAAAGCTAGTGATTTTATACTAGCTTCTTTATTATGCTAAAGCTAGATTTTACAATAGCTTCTTTCCACAGTGAGAAGAATAAAGGATCTCTTCAAACTAATCTCATTTCGTGGTTGGATGACAATAAAAACTCAAAGCTACATCTTGGTCTTGTGTCTCAGTTTCTGGTTTGATTAAACATAAATCTTCAGTCTTTGCAAATGGAACTCGAGCCCGAAATAGCGTCTGCTGCGTTCATGTAACTCCGGGAACGAGGTGATCTGCTGTTTCAGGCTCTTCCATTTCTCTGACGCAAAGAAATGTCAAACAAAAGACCGGAAATTAAAACACGAGAGGAAAAATCTGCTCTGAGAGAATTTATCCTGATGCCAGAGCTTCTGGGATCAACTGTGCAGACCGAGATATCTATTTCTCAGGAGCCACCAGTAGCTCGCCACCCCCCTCCAGGTAGCTCGCCAGAGGATTTAGAAATGAACAAATCAAGGAATGAACTTAATATTTCAGATTGTATTATTCATTTTCATTATTTAATATTGTAAATGCACTGTCTCTAGTAACACATGTGCAATGATAAATTTACTTTACCCATTATCAGGCTCGTTCACACCAATATATCAACAACAAAAAATCCCAGGGCGTTTAAAGGAGTAGCTCTCTGCCTTTATTGTTCCAGGGCGTTTAAAGGAGTAGCTCTCTGCCTTTATTGTTCCAGGGCGTTTAAAGGAGTAGCTCTCTGCCTTTATTGTTCCAGGGCGTTTAAAGGAGTAGCTCTCTGCCTTTATTGTTCCAGGGCGTTTAAAGGAGTAGCTCTCTGCCTTTATTGTTCCAGGGCGTTTAAAGGAGTAGCTCTCTGCCTTTATTGTTCCAGGGCGTTTAAAGGAGTAGCTCTCTGCCTTTATTGTTCCAGGGCGTTTAAAGGAGTAGCTCTCTGCCTTTATTGTTCCAGGGCGTTTAAAGGAGTAGCTCTCTGCCTTTATTGTTCCAGGGCGTTTAAAGGAGTAGCTCTCTGCCTTTATTGTTCCAGGGCGTTTAAAGGAGTAGCTCTCTGCCTTTATTGTTCCAGGGCGTTTAAAGGAGTAGCTCTCTGCCTTTATTGTTCCAGGGCGTTTAAAGGAGTAGCTCTCTGCCTTTATTGTTCCAGGGCGTTTAAAGGAGTAGCTCTCTGCCTTTATTGTTCCAGGTCGTTTAAAGGAGTAGCTCTCTGCCTTTATTGTTCCAGGGCGTTTAAAGGAGTAGCTCTCTGTCTTTATCGTCCCAGGACAGTAGCTCTCTGCCTTTTTCGTCCTGGGAAAGTAGCTCTCTGCCATCATCGTCAAGATTTAGGGGCTGTAAAACTAAGAAATCCAAATATCTCTAAACTACTGTTATCAGTTAAAGAAGTATTGAAAAAGAGCAGTTTATGATTATGACGGATTAGGGCCCTTTAATGATGACAGATTAGGGCCCTTTAATGATGACAGATTAGGGCCCTTTAATGATGACAGATTAGGGCCCTTTAATGATGACAGATTAGGGCCCTTTAATGATGACATATTAGGGCCCTTTAATGATGACATATTAGGGCCCTTTAATGATGACAGATATAATGGCCCTTTAATGATGACAGATTAGGGCCCTTTAATGATGACATGTGCCCAAACAGGTCAAATAAAAATAGAATGGTCCCATATATTGAGAAAAATAAATGATTTAACATTAACCGATGTCTCCCGGTCCCAAAACCCTTATAACAATGCTGTCAACACTGTCACCAACCTCCAGTATTTTACTGTTATTGATTTTGCTACTGCATTTTCTGTAAATCCCCTGGAAGAGGAAAGCATGAAGATTACTTCTCAATACTCACAGGGTCCAAAACTGCGTTTACACCCGTCGTTCCCCATGGGACCTAAATGCTCCCCGGGCATTTTTAATCAGACTTTTACGCTCTGCAGAGATGAGTTGGATGCTTCCGGAGGGCGGTGAACACCTACATATGTGACGATCTCCTCCTCTCCTCGATAACGAGAGCAGGCCTGTCTAACAATGCCACTAGGGGACACTAATCTTCTTACATCAAAAGGATTTAAGGACCTTAGGAAAAGCTACAAATGTTGCAGGCCTGCGGTGACCTTCCAGGGACGTATTGTGTCTGGAGGATCCACAAATATTGTCTCCAGAGCACAGAGATGCTATTTTGTCATATCCCAGACCCCCCTGGTGGGGGACATGGTTGTCCTTACCAGGGTCGTATAGGCTATAAGCAGACACAATGAGGCAGATTTTGCAGACAAAATATAAACCCTTTAAGAAGCTTATAGTTAAATGAACATGGCAAATGAGAAACACAAGGCTAAACTGAATAGGGACAGAGATGAGTTAGGCACCGTTTATCTCACTCAAACAGGACCTAATCCACTCGGCTCATATGGCATCACCAATTATGCTCACCCGTTCTATTTAGATTGCACAGTGCAGTCTCAGGTAGCCACGTGTGATAAATCAGAATATGCGAGGCCAGAGAAAATCTAACATGTATATAATGCGGTCCATTGATTCAATCGAGGGCTAACAGGTTTGACTGTTCTAGTTATATGTGCTCGCAGGAGTGGGACATTTGATTAAGAAAACACACATTAAAGTCCAGGGGCAGACTTTAGAATATTGACTGGATCAGGCGTTTTGTGCGGTATGAAGTGCCTCAGCTGCATTCACTATTGTCACCTTTGAGACAGTTCCCGTCTCTTACAGGTGCACACTCAGCCCCACATAACTTTTACAACCTCTTGCAATAACAAGGCTGACCACATGCCAAGACACAGTGAGAGCCTCATGACTGCAGTGTAAGGGTAATAGACAGTCTGCACGTGCGACCTGACCCCCCAGACTGACCCACTTCAGACCCCGACTTACAGCTTTTCACAGCTGGGTGTTTGCAGGAGAGAGAGGAATGGCAGCTTGAGAGCGGCATATGCAGTTTGTCAGTGTTAACGTTTGAAAATTTTTGTAACAGTAAACAGCGGTGATTTAACTGACAAACCAATCAGCGCAGGCAGCAGAAACTAGAGGCGCTCTTCACAGCGCCGCCTTGAGTTTGCTAAAGTCAAATCTGTAAATATTTACTCCGACTCGTCGTATGCTACCAGTCTGTCCATTTCAACCTCTCCGAGTTGGAAAAGAAACGGCTTCTTGATCTGCTAAAGGCCGACCATCCACACATAGAGCCCTAGTGGAGAGGCAGAGGAACAGCGCTCTCCAGCTTACCAAACAGGTAACGTCATTAAGTGCCAAGGGCAACTCCAAGTCATACAACATTGAGGCCAGGGGAAACGAGGCGGCGATGAGGCCGCAAAGAAAGCTTCCAACACCACGGTCATACCCTCCAGATTTGATTTGTGGTTCCGGGACGAGGCCAGACCCTGGCAGACTGCCTGCCTGAATCAGTTCCCATTCAGGTTTTAGCTGAATCCCAAACAAAAGCAGCTTTCCTGAAGAATAAATCCATGTGGGTTTCAAAAACGGGCAAAGAAGGATCCAGATACTGGCATCAGGTACGGCCCTGATGGCCGCCCGCCTGCATGGGGGGACCTCTCACGATCGGCTTTATCTGATGCACCTGGCTAGCCCATGTGGGTCAGGTACAGGAAGCTCAGGAAACAGTCAACAATGGAGGGCATCCCCTTAAGACAGCATGATCCCAGATTTCCTAGGACCTGTCAAATATGACAGAATTAAAACCCCTCGCCCTGCTCAGCTGTTTTCCCCAGGAAAATTCACACCTGCTTCTTGGCCAGGAGCACAAGTAGAGAGGACTACACAGATATGATCAACCGGAGCGCAGGAAAGCGGTACCTGTTGGTCATCACTGACACCTTACGGGATGGCCTGAGGCCATAACCTGCTGCAAGGAGGATGCTGCCTATAAATCAAAAGCCTTAATTCAGCATTACATCCCCCAAACGCAATGGCTTAGATCCCCAGTATAATAAGGTCGACAATGGTACCAATTCAGGAACAAACACTTGCAATTGGTAGAAACACATCAGGGCAAACACATAAATTTGTGGAAACGGACTACCATCCTCAGTCCATGGCGAGTTGAAAGGATAATCAGACCCTAGAAAGTAAACTCACTAAAATCCTGGCAAACGATAAATTGAATAGGCTACAGGCAGATGCCTATTGCCCTGTTGTCCTCACAGGCACTCTGGTTAACGCATTCACCAATACTCCCCATACGAGCTGTTAACAGGGAGTGCCTAAGCCAGTCCCCAGGAAACAGGGTGGTGTCCATTCACAAAAGACGACCTCCCCAACACCCCAGTGCGGGAGTACTGGGAACAAATGAGAGAAATGTTGTCTAGTTTTTCCAACAGTTTGAAGGAATTCTCGGACTCTGCGAGAATTGAGGCCTCGGCGGAACCACCAGCCTGGGTCCGTGTGAATGTGATCAAAAGGAAGTGTGAACCGAGCCCGCTGGACCGGACCCTTGAAGCGGGTGCCCGCACTCGCAAAGCAGTTCAACGGAAGGAGGACACGGGAACAAGTGGTTTCATCTCTCTCATACGAACCATCTGACCCCACCCTCGTACCCACGCTCACGGGTTTGGACAGGGACTCACACACACGCTCTACACACCCTCATAATATGTTGCCTGGTACAGGATCCCTGGCCCACGACCAAGATAGGGAGAGCCCTCCTATGGGCTATCGCTGCAGTATTTTTTTGGTACGTGGTCCCTGGAATTTAGAACATGGGAAATTTAGAAAAACACACAGCTAAGAGACAGGGCCAGACTTGTAACACAACCAGTCAATGGTTCCAATAAGACTGACAGAAATAAAAGATCCTAGGAGATAGGCAGCGTTAGAGACACTCTACCCTTACGATTGTGACAGTAAAATGC